GCTCCACTGTTTCCTTGTTGATTTTCTGTCCGGATGATCTGTCCATAGATGTGAGTGGGGTGTTGAGGTCCCCTACTATTATTGTGTTATTTTAGTATCTTCTTTTATGTTTATTAATAGTTGCTTTATGAACTTTGGTGCTCCTGTGTTGGGTGCATAGATATTTATAAGTGTTATTTCTTCTTGATGCAGTGTCCCTTTGATCATTATATAATGTCCCTCTGTGTCTCTCTTTACCTGCCTTATTTTGAAATCTGTTTTGTCTGATATGAGTATTGCTACACCTGGTTTCTTTTGTTTGCTATTAGCTTGGACTATTGTCTTCCACCCCCTCACTCTGAGCCTTTGTTCGTCCTTGGAGCTGAGGTGTGTTTCCTGGAGGCAACAAATTGTTGGATCTTGTTCTTTAATCCATCTTGCCACTCTGTGTCTTTTTATTGGAGAGTTCAATCCGTTTACATTGAGGGTGAGTGTTGATGCATGAGGGCTTAATGCTGTCATTCTGTTGCTCGTTATCCGGTTTTCCTGCGTTACCTTTTTTCCTCATCCTCTGTGTTTTAGCCTACCCATTGACTTCTGCAATTTCTTATGCTGGGTTTCCTAGATTTTTCCTTATTTATGTTTTGTGTCTCTGTTCTGTTTTTTAGTTTAGTGGCTACCCTGAAGTCTGTATTCAGAATCCTGTGTATAATACAGTCCATTTTCTGGTGGTCTCTTACTTACTTGGCCTAGACTGATTTAGACCCTTTCCTCTTCCTCTCCTAAATTATTACTTTTATCTCTTATTCCAATTCGTGTTGTGAGTTTGTGGTTAGAGTGATAAGATCGTCTTTGCTTTGGTAGTTTCCTTCCCTTTATCCTAATGCTATAGTTGAACATTTGCTATCCTATTCTGATTCTATCTATTTGTCTCCCTACTCTGTGATTTGTGACCCCTTTCTCCCTTTTTTCTTTTTTCAGGTATGAGAGACTTCTTGGGGATTTCTTGTAGTGGAGGTGTTTTGGATACAAAGTCCCTTAGCTTTTGTTCGTCTGGAAAAGATTTAACTTCTCCCTCATATCTGAAGGATATTTTTGCTGGATAGAGTATTCTTGGCTGTAGCTTTTCATCCTTCAAAGTTTTGAATATGTCATTCCATTCTCTCCTAGCTGGTAAGGTTTCTGTTCAGAAATTTGCTGAAAGTCTGATAGGAGTTCCTTTGTAGGTTATTTTCTTCTGCCTTGCTGCCCTGAGTATTCTTTCTTTGCCATTCATTTTTGCCATTTTTCCTACTATATGCTTTGCAGTAGGTCTTTTGACATCGACAAATCTAGGAGATCTGAAAGCTTCCTCCACACACATTTCTCCCTCAATCCCTAGATTTGGGAAATTTTCTTCAATTATTTCTTTGAGGACTCCTTCTGTTCCATTTTCCTTTTCCATGCCCTCAGGAATTCTGATGATTCTTAAATTGGTTCTCCTCTTTGAATCCACTATCTCTTGGAGATTTTTCTCATTCTTATTAATTCTTAGTTCTCTTTCTTCCTCTGTCTGGAGCCATTCAGCCTGTCTATCTTCAATTATGCTAATTTTCTCCTCTATGGTGTCTACATGAGCATTCAGGGAATCTGTATTCTGATTTACCTGATCCATTGTATTTTTCATCTCTAGTATTTCTGATTTATTCTTCTTTATAGTTTCAATCTCTTTTGTGAAGTAACTCCAGCACTCGTTGACTTGTTTCTCTATATTTCCCTTTACCTCATTGAGTATTTTGATAATAGCTACTCTGAACTTATTTTCACCTAGTTTACCTATTTCCAAGTCCTCAGGACTTAATTCTGTGTTTTTATTGTTTTCCTTCTGGTCTGGAGCTTTTATAAATTGCTGAATGGTAGAGGAGTGGTTTTTGCACATGATGGTAGTATTCGGTTGCAGTTACAGCCTGTTGCCACTAGATGGGGGTCGAGAGCCATGCGTTCTGTGCCTTCCGCCTTCAGCCGCAATGGTGGCGTGCACCATGGGTTGGGGGAGGAGGGGCACTTTCTCTCGTGCACCAATCTGGATTCCAATCAGCTCTGGCTCTCTGATCTCCCGGGGCCCTGGCTGCATGGGGTCCCCGCACACAAAAGCTTTCCCCGGTTAGTGGGTTTCTGCTGCATGGACGGTGGAAGTCCTGGACGATCCCCAGATGCACGGCCCCTCCCCTGCTCCTTCCCTCACCCGCGGCAGCAATCCCAGTCTCTAGGGGACGGAGCGAAGTTCTCTCCTACCCCGTTCCAACTCCTCCGAAGGCGGCGCCAGCCTGTGCCCTCCATCGTTTAGCTGCTGTGGGTTTCTGACGATCTCTGTATTTTTAAAATTATTGATTGAAATTCAGTTGTTCATTTTTTGCTTGTAGTTTGGAGGGGAGAGATTCCTGGGTCAGCTCACTCCACCATTTCACTGATGTCACCTCTCTCCTTTACCCAGTTTTTGATCAGGTTGTTAGTTTTGTTAGCTGAGTTGAAGAAAATCTTTATTATTCTGGATATTAATGCCTTATCAGATATATGATTTGCAAATGTTTTCTCCCATTCCATAGGCTCCCTTTTCATTCTGTTGATAATGTCCTTTGATGCACAAGTTTTTAATTTTGATGAAGTCTAATTTATTTATGTTTTATCTTGTTGCTTGAGCTTTTGGTAACACATAAAAGAAATGTTGCCATATTCAATGACACGAAGCTTTTCCCCGTGTACTCTTCTAAGAATTTTGCAGTTTTAGCCAACCAGTACACAAAAAGGTGCTCAATATGACTAATCATCCTTAAACAAAGCCTTAGTCCTTAAATCCTTAAATAATGCCTTAAACAGGATGGAAATTCTGACACACGCTACAACACGGATGAAACTTGAAGACAATATGCTAAATGAAATAAGCCAGTCACAAAGAGAAATACTTATGATTCCTATATGAAGTACCTTGAGTAGTCAACCTCATAGAGACAGACAGCAGAACGGTGGCTGACAGGGCCTGCGAGGAGAAGCGAATGGGGACTTAGCGTGTAAGGGTAGAGCTTCAGTTGGGGAAGATGAAAATGTTCTGGACATGGAGGCTGGTGATGCCTGCACAATGATGTGAGACTATTTAATGCCATAGAATTGTACACTTAAAGATGGTTAAAATGGTAAATATTATGTTATGCATATTTTACAATAAAAATAATTATTTTTGAGGAAGATTACTCCTGAGTTAACATCTGCCACCAATCTTCCTCTTTTTGCTGAGGAAGACTGGCCCTGAGTTAACATCTGTGCCCATCTTCCTATACTTTACATGTGGTACACCTGCCACAACATGGCTTGACAAGCAGTGCCATGTCCGCGCCCAGGATCCGAATGGGCAAACCCCAGGCCACCGAAGTGAAACATGGGAACTTAACCACTGCACCACCAGGCAGGCCTCAAAATAAATTTTTTTGAGTTTAAAAACAAGGTAGAACAAAAATACTAGATGACACCAACAGCATGGACATGGGCAGGAGACATTCAGAATTTGTGTTGTAAGATCTTTTTAATATTGGGAAGGAGGTTATAGATGTTGATTAACTTTGGACTTTGTATACATATTAAAAAGAATAACCAACAAAAATAAAATGTATGATTTCCAAACCTGTCAAGGAAAAGTTCTAAGTAGATCATACTATTATCGTAGACTATGCTATTTAGTCACTATTTATGTGCTAGTAAAATCCATGGGAAAAATACACACCAACTTTTAGGAAGAAGAGGAGTATAAACTTTAGGGTGGGGCTTTAAGATGTACCCAAAACACTACTGCTTTAAAAGTGTCCATGTATTAAGATACATATTGTGGGTAAACAGGTTTCTGCTATACTATTCTCTATACTTTATGTTTGAAACATAATTTTTAGAGATTAGAAATACAAAACTTATAAAAAGTTGTATTAAAAAGTATTATGTATTTATTATTATCAGGAAGAAGGCTAATCTTCAAACTTGCAAGAAACAGAATTAGTCACAAAGGGTGGGAAATACAGAGTTAAAACTCTCAAATCTAGCCTCAAATTCTATGATTAAATACAAAAGATAAAAACTGGCGTGGAAAAACCTATCTTCAGCAAGTAGTACTAAACGCTAGTATATTTCTATAAGAAAATATATAAACAGGAGAGGAAATGCTGACAATAGGAAAGGTAAAGAAAATGAACAAGAAAGAACTAAAACATGTCCAATCAAAATAACATTTTAAAGTTACCAATAAAATGAAGTACCATTTTATGACTTCTTGGTTTACTATTTGCTTACTTTGGCACAGCCCTTTAGAATAGCAATTGCTATGTATCATATAAATAAAAAAATATTATACCCTTTCTTTACCCCATTTCTGGAATTTGTCCTAAGGAACTATGTCTAGGGAGTCCTCGCAAAATCATTTATCATGTAAACTGGAAGCTCCTTGCTGCCTGATAAGAGGATAGTTATTACTCAATAAATTTTGCCATCATTTTTAATGACAACTACGAAGACTCCACAGCAACAAGAGAACAGCTGACGAGACGTTAAGTAGAAATGGGGGAAACGGGAAAGAAGCAAGAACGACAGTGCAAGGGACGCAGACTCAGGGCCGGACCGGGGACACACCCCCGAGCAAAACCGCGCGTGGACACGGAAAACTCGGTAATCAAGGTGAACAAGACTTAAAAACTAATGTGAAAGTACCCAGGATGAAAAAAAATCAAAATTTTAAATAAAGCCTGGATCTGATCTTTCACTCGCACCAGCTGAGAGCTCACCTGCCTCTCCCTAATCCAAGCCCAGGGATGCCGTTTTGTTGAGCGGGCAGCGTCCTCTTGAGATGTTCGCTTTGATTTCGGGAGTGTGCCTTACACCGCCCTTTCGTGGGACGACGCCCCTTCGAGCCCGCCCCCGGCCAGCGCCCCGCTGCCAGGTCCCCAGCCAACGCGCCGAGCCGCGGGGTGGGCCGCGCCTCCCGCCGCCCGCGGCCAGGGCCTCACCATGAAGCGCAGGTTCGCGCCGCTGGGCTCGACGCTGCCGCGGAGCTCGTTGTGCAGGTTCACGTACTCATTGATGAAGCTGACGTCCTCCTCGTCGGGCAAAAAGTTCGCGTTCAAACCGGCCCCCAGCAGGAGCAGCCAGAGCTCCCAGAGCCACAGCTTCCAAACCGCCCCTCGCGTCACGGGGACGAAGCGGGCGCCCCCAGCAGAAGCGAAGGGCCTCGGGGCCTCCATGGTCCACCAGCCGCGGAGAGACCAGTGCGCACGCGCCGCCCCGCCCCGGGGGGCTGCCAGTCCGCAGGCCTTGAGGGGCCGGCCCCGCCTCCCCGGGGGGCGGGGAGCGTGCGGGGAGGCCGGGGATGCAGCTGCAGAGGGCTCGTCGTCCCTGTCTGCGACCTAACCAGGGAAGCTTGAGTTAGATGAGGGCACGCTCTTCCCTGAGCTCATGTAGGCAGGTATTATCCAGAGTTGATTTCTGACACCACATGATGTCATTAATAAATAATGAGACATCTGTACGGTAAATGCCACTTGCTGAATAGTTAGCATGTCTGAGGAAGCTTCTAATTATGCAAGGGGAAATGATCATTCTTCTGTGATACTGATGAAAATTCAATTAATTTTTCTTTTCATCCTTACCTGTTGAGTTGGAAAGTTAATGCAGGACGCGCCCTTTACTTTCCTCGTGGACAAAAGAATATCCTCTTTTAGGTGGAATTCCTCATTGAAATTTTTCTCTCAGTGGGAAACCACAAAATAAATGGAAGAGTGGGAAGCTCAGCATTTAGGGGCTAGACTAGGGATCATCAAATTCTCATAAGGTTAAAATATTTCCATTCTCTCACCAGCGCTGTATAGACAGCCTGGAATAATGATATTCATCTTCTCTGACAAATTGTTTTCACAGTAGGTAAGAATGCGTGTTTTTGTTTTTATTTCTCTTTTTCAGACAAAAATGTCTGGAGTCTTAGCAGATTTTGGCCTGGTCTCTTTACTGCCACATATTTTGCTTAAGAAAACTTGCTTTGAAGAATATAAATTCTAGATTCAAAATAAAAGCACGTACATATTTGGGGGTACACATTTGCATATAACATACTGTGCTCCGTAGTATTAAGGAGATATTCAAAATCACCGACACTGGGACCGAATTTTGCCAGAAAGAAAGCACTGCAGCTGGTTGGCCAAAAATACCTAAAAAGAAATGTGCTTTTAAAAATTATCTATGTTGTACACAACTGAAAGCAGTAGACCTCATAAGATGGTTTCATTGATGCCTTTATTCTTTTAATAAATATTTATTACCAGGCAATGTGTTAGGTGGTTGAGAAAGACTAGTAGACAAGACACAGACCCTGCTCCTGAGTAGCTTACAGTTTAGAGAACTAGGAAATTGGTGACTTCTATACCATGTGATAAATACAAAGCCAAAATACTATTGTGGCATGTATGGGGCAACTAACACCGTTTTTGAGAACCAGGAAAGACTTTGTGGAGAATGAGACATCAAGAAGGTGAAGCACATAGGTGAAAGAGCCCATTCTAAGTGAGGAAAAAGCATGTCATATGCCAGGAGATCCCAGAAAGCTAAAAGTGTTTTAATAGGAACAGAAGGTATTGTAGGTGTAAAGGTGGCAAGTGAAAGAGTTCCTTTATGACGTTGATACTGTTGTTAAGACCATGAAAATTGTTATACTATAGCACAAGATAAATAGAATAAATGCAATCTTAGAGTAGGAAGAAATTTTAGACGCTTTTACTCATCCCATCTATGTATTAGACATATTTTCTGATACATCATTGATAGGTGATCATCATACCCTCTGCTTAAATAATTACGCTAACAGGGAAGACACCATCTCTTAGGCAGCCCATTCCATTGGTAGACACCTCACTCATTAATTTAATAAGTGTTTCTTTAGGACCTCCTATGTGTCAGAGCCCATGCTAGGTGATAGAGCTACAAATGCTGAACAAGCTAGGTATGTGGTATATCCACACGAAGCCTTTAGTTAAAGGTGATATAGACAGATCATCAAACAATTACAATACAGAGTAGTAAATGCTATTTTTAATTTATTTCAAAAATCCTTACTATGTGTCAGGAGCTGTTTTATTTTTATTTTTTGATTTTTTTAAATTGTGGTAAAATATACAGAACATAAAATTTGCCATTGTATCCATTTTTAGTGTAAAATTCAGTGGCAATTACATTCACAGTGTTGTATAATCATCACCACTGTTTCCAGAACTATCTGATACTATTTTAAATGCTTGGAAAATATCAATTCATTTAATTGATTAAAAACCTTAAGAAACAGATATTATTATTTTTATTATCTCCATTTTACCGATGAAAAAATTGAGAAGAAGTCCAGTAAGTTGTCTAAAGTCACCCATCCAATGAGCAGTAGAGCTATTTTCAAGCCCAGGTGACTAACATAGGAGTACAGAGGAAGCGCACACGAAAGCATCTCATTTGGTTTGTGTATAAAGAGGCTGGGTTTGCTGACAGTGTTCTGCAAACATTCAGCCTTTCAGATCTGTCAATGAATGGGCCACATCACAGATTTCATACAAAAAATATTTTAAATGCATTACATTTCTAAAATATACTTTTTCAAAACTTTTAAAGAGAAGTGTAATACTTAGGGATTATTTAATCATTGTTTAACATATGATGTATTAAATCACAGATTGTACATCAGTACCAAAAGGTATGTAGTTTTCTCATAAGTTTTTGTAGGGTGTGACTTTTTGAGCTTTGAAATTTTGGGCTATTCAGCTAGCCCTCAAAGAAGTTTTCACTTTCTTCGTTTTGAAAGCGATGAAATGATTTAGCATGTTAACTTTCTTGAAGGCATTGGAATTGTTAGAGGAAATTGCCAGAATCGTCTGTCTCTTTACAAGCAATGTGAAAACTACAACGTTACTAAATTATTTCACTCAAGTTCTGCTGCCGATGTACTTTTGAATACCCATTTACTTTTCTGTTGTTGTGTCTGAGATACTGCTTTCACTTAGCAAATAAAGGCAATTTTAGGAAAAGACTTTAGGCCTCTTGTTTATCTCAGATGATTTTGGGCTTCCTTAAGTTTTCAGTTTCTGCGTACTACGCTTGAAATTTTAAGGAAGTACACTTAAGGAGAATGGTCATGAAATAAGGCTAAAGATAGTGATAGGCGTCGTTTTGTTCTCTGTATAGATGCTATTGGAGAGATATATTGTTTTGTCTTTGACTCTCTTTTTTCACATTTTAGCAGTCCTCACTTGATTGATCTTTTCTCTAATGAAAAATACAAATTATAATAATGATGCACAAGAACTGTTACAAGAGAAAATCAACATGATTCTTCAAATAAAATCCAACATTCAAAAGTGGGAAGATGGACTTTACTTCATCAAAATGCAAATAGAGGACAACCAAAAAAGGTATTTGTTAGATAAATGTCAAAGGATTAAAATCACCGATGTGCTGTTAAAGCACATTTAAGAATCATTTAAAATTTCCAAGAAAATGAACAGCACTATTAAAATGAAGGAGATAAACAGGCAGTGGACCAAAAAGAAAAAAAAAGAGCCAAAAACAGTGCAGTGGATATCTTCATGATGCTGCGTCTATTCTTTCCTTATAGATAAGTGGACTGTGTATATCCACATTCCAGGATAAGTTTGGGTCTCAGGAACTAAATTACAGTGTGCCTCATCCAAAAGTCAATGCCGTAAAATCAAGTATAAATCTGTGAATATTTATATGAAATTTTGACTCCTAAAATTACGCTATTCCTGTATTCTTGAGTTCAGTATTTATTTGGTATGGTTATATGCATGCAATAACTCCTAGGAATCCTCCCACCAAAGGACAGCATTCTCCTAGATTATTTTAATAACTCTCAAAAAAATGTATAAATCTGAATGCAGTTTATGAAAATGTGTTTACATCTACTAGTATTCAAGAAATGAAAATTAATAGCATCTACCTGAGAATTATTGAGGGGATTGTATAAATTATTACACGTGGAGCACGTAGTGCTTGGCACATTGTAAATATTATTTTGTGCTAGGTATTACTGTTATTGAATTAATGCTATTGATAAATGCTGTCTCATCTCACTTATATGGACAAGGACTAAAATAAGTTTTCAACACAGCATTTTGCCAGATATATTATGCATTCTTAATACATATTTATTGAATTATTATAATGATAACCCTTGTGTTTTCACTAGCTAGGAGGAGCGAATCCAATGTGTGCAACTCAGTGGGTTCCTGGTAGTTTTTGACCAGGGGGCATTGGCAGGTGGTATGTAGCTTGGCTGAGGGAAAATGGGAGTTGATGGTTATAGGATTTGTTTCTTTCCTTTGCTCCGGTATGTGAGCCCAGGTAGATTTAATTACAGATTATGTTACCCAGTTTTCACTAAGCCAAACATCAGAAATTGGTCATATGTCTTGCAAAAATAGCTGAAAGGATATTGCAGATTAATTATAGACAAACAATATCAATTGTTTGATTCTTGTCTTTCTGACCTAAACATCTCTTTAGCACTTATTTTTCCATTCATTTTTATGTCATCATTTTCAGGTTCAATTTTGTATTTTAAACATATATTGCTCTATTATAAAAATACACATAATACATGTAATTAAATGGTACATATTTACTTTTGGTTGAAGCTTAGGGTCACCAACTTTCTGGTTTGTTAGGGAATGCCCTGGCTTTCCCCTGTCTTGGGAAACCCTTTAGTCTCAGGCAAACCAGGACTGTTGGTCACTCTACAATATTTCCTTAGTGATAGAGATACATAATCAAAAAGTTAGAGAGACTACTGTTTAAACCATCTCTTCACCATCCTTCCCAAGGGCTAAGAATGGGATTAACCTGGCCTGGCTAAGACTGACAATTCTGATCCCTGTACTGCCAAGCAATTAGTCAATTTCTTGGAACTTCAGACAAAGCCTCGTAGGACAAGAGGATACCCAGAAAAATGCACTCCTCAAAGCCTGAGTTAACTGTCATCAGGAATTTGAAAAGGCCAAGCCCAGAGCTGTCTGTCTAGAAATTCCAAACTGGGTGAAACAAGGTTGATATTAAGAAGAAGATGTGCTCAGAGTCAAAGAATGGCAAGTGATGCCAAGCCTCCCAAGATGTCCTGTCAAGTCTGTGGTTATGATCACAAGAAATAGAAAAGACATCCTCTTGACCCAGAATTTTCTACTCTTGCTGATGAAGGGAAACCCCACTAGGAAGGCAGAGGTGCTCCACCTGCCCAC